ATCTCAAATTATTATTAATTTTTCGAAAAAATATTTCCTTTCATCTAAGTAGAAGTGCCACAGAGATTCCAAGATTAATCATTGTACTAATATCTGAGGTCGTTCTTCTGAATATTTAACGAAGTTAACTTTCGCACGTGAAGGAATGATCAATGGAATTTTTGAATAGGCTATATTACTTGAATAAACGAAAATAAATACTATCATTTAAAAAACAAAGATCACCTTGAATTTTCGGCGACAGCTGTACCTAAATAAATTTTATATCCATCAGAAAATGCTCACCACCAACTTCTCTTTAAACAAAGAATTAAGAACAAATACTTATATTTTATTAATAATTGTAAAAGTTATTACTATGTGAGTGGACTATGTTATTGATTAATTCTTCCATCAGGCACATTCATTGTGTTTCTAGTCTTCTTGAATAAGGTTATCCTTAGACCTGCAATAAATAACGTTAGCAAAATGGCAAAAATTTAAAGAACAGACTTTCAATTTTATTACAAAATTTTTATATCTCGCCTTCCGGGAAAAAATAATATTAATCGCTAGAATACTGTGAGCACCTATAAGCACTCTGAAAAGCATCTCTTTTTTATTTTTAATAAATATCGTATTAACGGTATTTTAATATTGTTTCATTAATATATTCACCCAATTTGATGAATCTGGCCAAAAAGGTGAAATCATTTAAACAATTGTATTCTGTACTTGTATTCTGTTTTTATAGTTGTTGACTATAAAGACGAGCCGCAAGGCTCGTATAATCGTATCTCCTCTTCACAAATTGTCCATTTTACTGTAATTTGAATTAATTTGAATTTACTGTAATTTGAATTAATTCGAACGAGTACGCTGAGCGACATCACGCCCGCGTTTTTCATACTGATTCCTGATTGGTCATAAGTTACCAGGCAACCCTTCTATTCTACAAACCTTGGGTATTGCTGTACATAGATTGGTTTATCCTTAGACCATAATACATACTTACTCCTGCACATCTTCAGACTGCAGCTTGATCCGTTAGCGAGGATTGATATGGAAGTTCCCATTGCTCTAATTGGCTGACGATTCATTGCTAAGACAGGGTCCACTACGGATTGGATGCACAGTAAAATGATGGAGATGTGCGCCAGCCTAGGGAATAAGAACAGCGTGCAGGAGTAGGTCCATTACTGTACCTGAGTTCATACGAAATATGTAGAGAGTAAAACTTATGCGTCAAATATCAAAAGTATCGGGGTTAATATTAAAAAATGTATTAGAAACATAACAAATTATACGTTACTCAACAATCTTTATTGTTTTATTATGCTATATAATTAATTTATTTTAAATATTTAATTCAAAAATGAATATTTACGAAATTGTCTAAATGTACGTCAAATGCCACGTTGTATCGAATACATACACCATTGAGCTGTTCACAACAACAGCTGTAACGTGTTCCCAGCAGAAGAATACTGTAAAAAATAATTTTGCAATAACTGTTTAAAATGGATTATAGAAATTATATTATATTTTTAGGATTAATTTTGAGTTTAAATTACGTTTGCTGCCAATATAGGACCAAAAACGTGAGTAATTTTGAAATTTTCAGCAGCTGTCATATATGTTTAAGCTTTCATTTTATATGTTTTATTTAAAAAATGTGCAATAGAATTTAATGATTAGCTTTTATTGATGATTATAAGTGATATTTTATGTCATTTGCTACTATTTGATGTTGTAACAGTTTCATTTATTTAACCTAAAATTATTAGTAGTATCTTCAGTTTTATTTAAACGTCATTTATTCATTTTAGACCCAAGGCTCTTCCTTGTCAGATCGTGTACAACAATTAACAGAATTGGCTCTGACAAGACCTGTAATAAAGTTTAATGGTGCAAAATTTAAAGAATATGTGCGCACTACGCCAAGAAACTATTCTGTTATAGTCATGTTTACTGCTATGGCACCACAAAGACAATGTCAAATATGCAGGTAAATGCAACTTTATTTATAAGTTCATCTCATTATAAATAATATATGATGTTTATGTAATATTTATTATATATACTTTTTAGACATGCAAATGATGAATTCGTTATAGTGGCAAATTCATTCAGATACTTGCAGTCCCACTCAAAAAGACTATTCTTTGCTTCTGTAGATTTTGATGAAGGATCAGATGTTTTCCAAATGGTATTTAAAGCACTATACAATTGTTAATAAGAAGAAATTTGTTGAATATAAATTATTTTGTGTGTGTAGATGAGATTAAGTACTGCTCCAGTATATATGCACTTTCCACCAAAAGGTAAGCCAAAGCCGGCAGATACCTTGGACATCCAAAGAATAGGATTTGGGGCAGAAGCCATTGCAAAATGGATATCTGAACGCACTGATATTCAGGTGTGTACAGATATATATATATATTTTTTTATAAGTAGGGAGTAAATTTGTTTAAAACATTTATTAACACATTACAGATTAGAGTATTTAGACCTCCAAACTATTCTGGTACAGTAGCAATAATAATGTTACTAGTACTTATTGGAGGTTTCCTTTACGTGAGACGTAATAACTTAGATTTCATTTACAATAAAACAATATGGGGACTTGGTGCAATGGTAATATAGCATTTTATTGATCTGATAACTTATATAATGGTTTATTTAAAAGTAATACTGTCTACAGTTCTTTACCCTTACAATGACATCTGGACAAATGTGGAATCACATTAGAGCACCTCCATTTATACATAAATCAGCTAGTGGAAATGTGGCCTACATTCACGCTTCGTCTCAAGGGCAATTTATTTTGGAAACATACATAGTGATGGTTTTAAGTATCCTTTAACTTATGAAAGTTTAAAAAGAATGCAATAGTATTATTTAAAATACTATCATTTTCCTTAATAAAGTATAATTAGACGGTGCTGTAGTATTAGGTATGATTTTAATAACTGAAGCTGCATCTCGTAAAGGTGATGTAAAAAAACGGCGAATATTTGCTGCTATAGGCGCTGGATTAGTCGTCATTTTCTTCAGCCTGTTATTATCCATATTTAGGAATAAAGCACAGGGGTATCCTTACAGGTACAGTAACTTAAAAAACTCTTTACAAATAATAATAAATTATTATTACCAAAGTGGAGTATATTAATATTTTCACAACACTAAAGTATGAATATACTAATATACTCCATTTCTCATATGTTCCGAACAATCTATATCATTCAATGTATCTCAGTGAAGAATAATTGATATGTTGCAGTTTGCTATTCAAGTAAGAGGTTTAAGAGTAGGAAGTCATCATTTGTATATATTGCAAAAGAAACTTTCAACTTGCCCATCAATATTAAACACTAAGCTGCAAAAAAAAGGATTTGAGGATAATACTTGAACTCCCGTCATTGTTAAAAGTGTTGTACCATAATCACGATTTAAATTTGTTTGTACGTACTGTAAAATAAATTAATATTTAAAATCACTATTCCTTAATACTATTTAGGATGTTAATATGCGTGTATAATAC